TGTGTCCGTGTGTTGGTTTGCCTGTGTGTATGCGTGTGTGTGTGTGTGTTTTTTTTTTTGAATGAAAATTCATAACTTGGCTCCAGTAGACCTGGTAGACGGTTCAAGCCGCCCACAGAGGGAGTTTGGTTCTATCACCCACCGTATGTGTTCCCATCTTGCCTCCAGCACTCCTAAAATTTCACAAAAGATGTCGAGTTGGACCTAGGGCGCTAAATTTAGTAGAAATAAGGAGGTAAGATGGGAGCACTGGTGATCAGTGACAGGCCTAGATTCCGTCCACAAGAGAGGTGGCGTGAGCGAAAATATTTAATTCAGACCAGCTCAACCTTCTATGGGTCATTATTTTCAAGATGAACACCAGCAAAGCGAGACTCCTGATTATAAGCATAAGCATCGACACATTTTGAATACCACTTGCGTGCCCTGTAAGCCCACTGCCATATCGTTTTCTAAAATGAATATGTTCCAAAAGAAGGAGCTGGCGGTTGGGTGCTTACGGAAACTCTATCATAAAAAGGAGGGAAGCCCGGTGTTAGCCGAGTGACCCGGCTGGTAGTTAATGATTGCCGAACCACTCCAAACCACGCTACTCCACCTAATGTAAGCTACTGGTGCGGTAAGGTTGCATTTCATTTTATAGTTTGCTGTAAACGTGTGTGGTCCAGCTATAAGGAGTTGAGGTTTTCTCCAGGATGAATGTTACACACGTAATTTTCGATTTCGATGGCTTACTCGTGGATACGGAGGCATGTTACACAATTGCCAACCAGACCATGCTCAGAAAATTTGGCCGAGAATATACTCCAGAACTGAACGCCAGTACGTTTTTTTTTCTCCGTGCTGAATGGTCTCATCGAAAAAAGTTTCTGAATTCCTTGACAGCCTCTTAGAATTGCTGTTGTCTCAGTGAAAATTAAAAAAAATTTTGAAACTTGTTCAGAGATGATGGGAAGGAAAGAGGAAGAGGCGTTCCCTTGGCTTTTAAAAGAGGTTACTAGTGTTTTGTGTGAACACCACTATGATCAAGTAGTAAGAACAATTACAGGTTGGTATCGATGGTAAAATTACGGTCAAGGAATATATGGCTCAGTACGATGCAATGCTGGAAGGAATGTTCCTCAAATGCAAAGCTTTACCTGGTGCTGAACGATTAGTACGGCACCTATCCAAGAAAGGTCTTGTGCTTTCTCTGGTTTCGTTAATTTATGAAAAGTTTCGTACATCTTCTTCATTATCAACGATGTGAAGGTGCGAAAGGGAAATGTGAGTAAAATAAAATGGCAAGTTATTCAAGGTATCCCAATGGCTATTTGTTCGGGCTCTCGGAAGTCAACCTTTCGTACGAGACGTGAACCTCACAAGGATTGGCTGGATTTGATTGGTTTAATGGTAAGCGATTGAGAAATGGTAGTTATGTTGAATTACGACAATGCAAAATGAGGGTGATCCGAGACTCGCTACTTCAATTGGAATGCATAAGTAATACTGAATTGTTTGGAAAGAACTAAGATTCCTTTCCGTGTTCACAGTTATCACTCTTATCTTGAGACGCTTTGAAAACTCGAGCCATACTTGCACATAATTTACACGAACGATGCGATTTGGGAGCAATCTCTGTGACTTAATGCACTTAAATGAACATGCTTTCCCAGTAGGTGACGTGCTATAGTCCCTTTTCCATTGCAGCCTTTCGCTTTATCCTAGCACTTTCCCATACTAGGAGGGAGTCCCATAGTTATGCAAACTTCTAGCTAAGGTTGGAGCTCCGAAACTGCGCCACGTATTCGGCGACCTCTACTTGTTGTTCCTGACCCCGGGTCGAGAAACCAAGAAAAGAAGGGAACTCGCACGCACCTGGACCTGTTCCTGGTGCATTGAAGTCAAAGGGGACTCTTGGTCGTTTACCACGGCGAGTCTTCCAGGAAGTCGCCGCCGTTCTTTGGTGGCCGGTTCAGCGGTGGCTAAGAGGCTGTTGCGTACACACCATTCCTGCGCAGACACTAACATAGATCTGGCAACACTTTGGTACTTCACTGTAACTGGTGGTACATGGATTTTTTGCTCTCTTCTCGCCAGAATGGGGCTTCATTCTTTGTTCAATGAGACGGAAAAGTTACTAATTTTAGACTCTTACCTTTTCCGATACTACTTCTCTTCTTCCACTATTATTCAGGTGTTCTGTGGTGATGAACCAGACATAAAGAGAGGAAAGCCTCATCCAGATCCATACTTGGCCACGATGAATAGGTATTTAATTTATTAGATCGTGCATATGCATACTACTCAGGGCAATGCTGATATTAATTTTGTTTTCTGATTAATTTGTTATTTTAGGTTTCCAGTAAAACCTAAGGACCCTTCAAATGTCCTTGTGTTTGAGGATGCTCCGAATGGTGGCAGATCAGCCAAAGCGGCTGGTATGAAATGTGTTATGGTGCCTAGTGCAGACCATCGAGAAGAAGTGCTACAGATCGGGTAAATGCTACAACCATTCATTGGACGATAGTGAAGACATTTGTCCCACCTTTTTCATTCCCTTCTTCCACTGATCTCTCCATTTAAAAGGTCGTTTCCGATCGAATTGCATTAGAAAAGCACAAAAATGGGCTAGAAGCAGGTTTTGGTTCCATGCCAAAAAGGTCATGAGATCGTGTGCGGGTTTATACTGCTGATAGAAGAGTTCTGTTGGTTTCAGAAATGGGGACCTGGTTATCTAATGTACTATTGCTCGCTCGAATCTGAAGAGATAGATTAAAAATTAGTTAAATTAACTGCGTATGGATAATGGAGGAAAGGGAAAATCTGTAAAGGAAGAATTCGCTGGTGTTTACTCTCTGAGATTCTCAACTGATGGCATTCGTATGAGCTCCTATGTCCTACTTCCTCTATTCTTCTTTCTCGGTCGCATTTTTTTCTCATCTGCTGGGCCTAGGGGAAGTAGAGTATTGTGGGTAAACTGTGATGATCCTCAAATCAAACCGTCACAGACACCATTGCCAGTTGGCGTGTTGGTTACCGAGATACCGAAATTTTTCCTCTGTCTCGAGGAAGTCAGCAGTATGGAGTCAGCAGTAATACGGACCCTAGTGTTCGTGGGGACAAAGGTCGGATATACGGTACAACAGAAGATGCCCTGATCAGGGTGATTCTCAGTTTTTCCGAGACATAAACATGTTTGCATCTTCTCTTCTTGAGTCCAGTAGTTCTGAATAAGAGAAAATGCAATCAGGGGATGGGAATTTAGGGAAAGGAAAACACATATTAGCTATCACAGCACTGCTGGGCTACAAAGGTTATCAATTTATAACACTTGTGCTACTTCCAGCCTTTTTCTTCCCTCGCGGCTCCTTTCAAATATCCCACCGTACCCTTGTCCCTGAGCTCTCTCTCGAGTGCTTGAAGATATTTCCTCTCAAATGTCGCCTTACATCTATGCCTGGTCGCTTTCCAAAACGTCAAAAAGCCCTAATCTTTTGTTCATTCGAGTTCAATCTCTTCTATTCCAGTGTCACCAAGGTACTTAATAGCCTCACCGAGTTCCGCCCGGAAGAATTTGGACTTCCGCCATTCGACTAATTTCAATGTGATCTATGCAAAATTAACCAGTGATAAATATTAAACCATTTTTTGAAGTCTATATTTGAAAGTATTTGGAGGATCCGTAAAATATCTTTGAACACTATTCTAACATCAGCGTTTTCCCCGGAATCCTTCGTTGATTGTGTTATTAGGATAACCCTGCTAGATTGTGTAGAAAATGAACAATATTTTTATTCAAAGCAAGCTTCACAGGAAACAAAGGCAGGGGGTTACTCGAGGTCTTCTCGGAGTAATCAATCAGCTTCAGGCCCCTCTAGAATACGACGCAGGAAGTCCTCCTTAGACGTCGAATATTCTGTATCACCAGAGCTGACTGAAGTGTCAGAATCATTGCCGTTCTTGCCTTCATCATCACTGGAATCCGAACTCGGCACTGTAAAAACTTCTCTTTCTGATTATTCTTCAAAGCTTCAAGTTCCATACCACTGAAGTGAACTAACTTTTGACTGGAACTGGTTCCGTCTTCATTTCTTCGACGATTTTGCGATAAACGTCGTCTTCACAATATTTCTCATGAAACGCCATTTCTACTTCAGGTAGAAAATGACGGGAATTGACGCGACATCTGTAATACGTGCATAATAATCTAAGCGTGAAATTCAGGTATTTTCATTCCACCGTTTTTCCAACTGTTCTGGAACAGGTCTCCGCTGAAAAGTCAATGTTAATCAGTGAAATATACCTTTCTGATGGGAACTACTCGCCCATATTTGCCACCGTTTAATCCTTGATTTTAATTTTTTTCCAAACGAGATACTTGATGATACTTCCTGAGATCTGTGGGCGTGGTGGAGGCTCCTTCAATCTTCTAATGCTCAATATCCAGGTATCCTACTCTGCATATATGTACAAGTAACTCCTATGTAACTCCCTGGAGGTACCTTTTGGAGTTGTTTATTCGCGTGTTTGTGTGTATGCATGTGTCTAAGTGGGCATGTATGGGTGTATGTGTGTGAGGATAATAAGGTATAATCATGTGTGTTTATCTGTGTAACTTTATACATCGCTATCCACCGAATACTTTCACAGAGGGTTCTCTCATCCTGAAGGATCCCTAGACGATTGGTGACTGGACTTGGCGGCGCGACCCCAAGTTGCGGATTAGGGGCTAAACCACGAATGAAAGCTGTTTTTGCCGGGTTGGATAGATCCATACCTATTGATGTCTCGCAGACGAAAAATATGGTTTCATGTGTGGAAAGACTGCTGTTGCGGTATCTTGCACAGAAGCTCAGCCAAAGGACTGCTGTCCCCTCCTCCCTCATGTGTAAGCCTTTCGTCTACCCTGAGATAGTCTGGTGGCTACACCGAGTCTGCAACAGATGCAGAGCTTGGCAAGCTACTCGTAGGTCCAACTGCTGAAATTACAGTATAAATGAGCCTCATTCAACGGACATAAGGAGCTCACAATATGATGGTGCTAAGTAGGGCCACATGGGAAAGGGTGCTAAAATCTCGAGGCTGTAATAGGCTGCCTTAAAAGAGAAAAATAAAGACGGCATTTCGTACTTCAAAAGCACGATGTCGGAAGACACGGTCCTTGGATTCACCGAGATGAGAAGATATAGCCCGCTGCACGCCGATTTCCAGGCTGGAGAAAAAGTTTTCTTGTAAAAGTAGCAGCAGAGGCGCCGTCGGTACAGGCCTCCTCTTCTACTCGCACTTGGCCATGAATATCGGTTCGTTACGAAAGCTTGAAATCCCGTCTCCGACTTCTGCGATTGGGGAAATGTGGCTCAACCTCAGCTCCAAAAATCTTCGTTGCCTACGCGTGAACGTCACGGCACAAGGAATAGGAGCTGAAAACGTTATATATGGATCTGAATCCACTTTTTTGTCAAGGTCACTGTCAGTGAACGGAGGTTTGTGCAACCATAACTTCTTTTTGAACATTAGCTACCCCTTTGTTTATATGTATTACTGAGATTTTACAGACGTTTATGCTCCTAATTTTAAAAGCCTTTTTTTCAAGTAACTCGCAGCACGCCTATATAGGTACCCAGAATCATCTCACAAACGGTATTGGTACGCGATCCAGTACCTGGTGATAAAAGTTGCGAAGAAGCGAGCTGTTTGCTCTATCTCCACCGTTCCTTGCGACATTTCGAAGCTATGGAAACTGTAACTTGGCCACTCACCTCACAAGACGAAGATTTTGTCCATTTTGACGGCAGTACCTGAGGCGACATTGACAGAGGTGCTCAAAGAACAAAGGTGGTTCGACACGATGGTTGAGATTGTATGGACAGACAACCATACGCCCATCAAGGGGAGGAGATGGTTCAGTCATCGGACTCCGACGAAAGCAAATGAATCTTATCGGGTGAGTTCGGAAGCATAAGCTGAACCTGTCAAGAGGGTTGGTTACGAGTAAAAGCACGGAAAAACTTGGCTCCACGAGTAATTTCGTGAAGGCCCCTCATGGTCTATCTTATGTTCTAGCGAGAGTGTGGGTGGTCCCTTCATTCACACCTCTCAGCATCCCCCTCCATTCTTTCCCTCCAATCGCTCTTTTGGTACATCAAAATTTTACGCTAATCACTACATCAATATGGTTTCCGGTTTTCTCGAGAAGCATTGGTAACCTAGTCTTCATTAGTGTACTTCTGTGAACCTCCTTCGTTGGAGAATATCTTCTAAATCAAGTCCTCCTTAAGTCCTCAATTCTCGAAAGACGAGCTGTGCGATATGCTGGAAGCTCTGGTGCTACCAAAATACTGAACCAAGGAATGCGCAAAGTAAGTCCTACTCCTTAACCCATTGACGACCATGACGTTTTGCGGGAAAACCGCCGCGTGGGAACGGCGCACTTTTCGTCCACTCTCATGGT